AGCTGTACTTGCAAACTGCTAATTGTTTATGTCGTTTTAATTTTACTAGCCTTCATGCACACGCGTGCAGAAAGCATTTTTTGAATCACGGCATGCTATGCGCGACTTACACGTTTTAAATCATGTTAGAAGAAAAGTCAATTATTTGAAGTAAATGAATAATCTTAGATCATGCTAGAAGAAAACCCTCATAAATCAATTAAAGCAGTTGAATTCACATAATAAAATCAGTCTCTATAGAATTTACATTAAGAATAGAGAAAATAATATTTAATAAACAATTGATTGAATCACATTATTATTAACTCATTGTGAGGCAAAGCCCACCCTCTCCCCCTTAATGTAGATAATATCATTTGTTAAAAAAAAAATCATTTAATAACTAATTTAATCACATTATTATCCGTATTTAATAAACAACTAATTGAATCACATTATTGTTAGTCCATTATGAGACTAAGCCCACCTCTTTTCCCCTCAGTATAGATAATATCATTTGTTACCAAAAAAAAAAAAACATTAATTTGACATCTAATTTAATTACATTATTATCCGCGTGCGAATTTATAACCGACATTACATGCCTCTTAAAATGTTTTGAACGTGTTTAAAAATAGATAAATTGAATCACATTATTGCTAGCCTATTATGAGGTACTAATTAAAAAAACACCGATTAAAAAAATACTATTAAAATGACAAAAATGCTCTTGCCTTGTTTGATGCATTATTTTGGGATGCCTTTGAAGTTTTTTGTTTTGGGGGTATGTTTGTCCAATTACTTTTGGTAAAGCACTATGACACCAAAACACTATTGACCTATTGTGTTCTCTTTATATATAATAGATAGATAGATATAAAATTGTCGTGGAAGTGTATTATAGCATAATTGCAATGGTCGTCTTAACCTGATAACATTATACTCAGAAGTACCTTTTGATAAAAACAAAACATCATAACTATCACTCCCCTCCTTGCCCTCTCTCACTTTCTATCCTCGTTGACAAGACAAATTACACTGGGGAGCGATTCCGTAGTGTGATAACAATTTCACCGATACAATCAACGTCAAAAAGCAAATTGATTAAAATTCAAGTCTAAGACAAAATGATCACGAAATAAAATGCACAAATGGGTGGCGTTTTAGTTAATTAACTTAACACAGTTTGAAACATTGCTTGATGCATTAAGTGTAAGAATATAATTGACCAAAAATTTATTTTTTAAACTTTTAATCAATTTTATTGTTACATTTCACATGTTTAACTGTGTTTTCCGACACATTAAAAATTATTCTTAAAACATAAAAAGAAAATTTTATTTGAACGAACCCATACAACCTCACTTTACACCCAATTTAAATCTTAATTGTGAATTGTTTTCTTAGCCCTATTGTGTAATACCCAATTTAAATCTTAATTGTGAATTGTTTTCTTAGCCCTATTGTGTAATTATCATCAAATACAAGATGAAATAAACACAATCAAAATTTACCAATAAACTCACATTCAATAATCACACCCTTACAATCACGCAATAATTCTTTTACGTTCTGTTTTGGTTAAAACCCTAAGATGTTGTCAAAGAGAAAAATAAGTTCTTTTTAACGGATGAATGATAATTTTAAAGTTTTAAATCCTTCAAATAAAATATGAATCAATTTATGTCAATGTTTTTATTTGATTTCAATTCTTTATTTTTAGGCTTTAGTAGCAATTTTATAATGCCTGCTCTATTGCCTCTTTGATTTAGTAGAAAGCCCGGTTTAAACCATCTCAAATAGGCTTGAAATCAAGGATAATAAAGGTGGATGATGTATTTTCTGGTATATTGTTTCTCTGCCACCACATGTTCTAGTTTTTTCAAAGATCCATATATATGGCTAACCATCTTTACCAAGGATCACCTTGGAGACAAGTTTTAGTGGTAGTGTCCCGATAAATATATGTCAGAACTGAATCTTTCTTGTTAAGAGGGAATAGCCATCACTCGAAGAGAAAATTGAAATCAAGGATTATTGAAATCAAATAATTGAATTGGGTAATTATACTTGGTAAAATCTCGTTGAAACAATAACTTATTCAGAGCATTATGTGCGAAAAAAAACCCTTACGATAACCCAATCCAATTTTCTCACAATTCTCCACTAATTCAACCTCTAAATCACTACACTCTGTACGATTAGAAAATGCTAAATTTCTCCAAACTTAAAAACATTTTGAATACCTTAACTCTTAGGTTGGTTAGGTGCAGAAAACGAGCAATGCAAAATATGCAACAAAAGAAGGATTAAACATGAGACAAATATGTAAGATATGTTGTTCTCTTTACGTTTGAATGAGTTGTAGAAAATTGATTTTGTGTTTTTATTTTTTCAATGGGTATAAAGATAAATTTACATATTGAATTGGGTTTGTGAGAGTAGTTTAGGTAGTAAATTTGGATTTAGAGAGATATTGATGATTTAATTAAAATTCATATGGGTACAGTGGCATATCCAGAATTTTAACCTTGGGTAGTCCTAGTATAAAATATTCAAGGATTTTGTAGACGAAAATAGTCCGCAATGGTAGCTCTTATATCTATTATATTATCCTATTAATTCACTATAATTTATCCTATCGAGTCCTTCATAGAGCTCCGCCTAGGGTTTAGGGTGGTCCTCCAAGGTTCTGCACAAGCATTTCTTCGATGTGTGGTGGGTCCCGGGACCACCTCGGTCCCTATATTGATCCACTCCTGTATGAGTAGGGCTGGAAAAAATTCCCGAAAATCCTAAACCAAACCAAAAAAATCCCAAACCCAAACCGAAAAATCCCAAACCGAAACTATCCCGAACTTTGGTAATCCCATACCGAAAAATACCGAAATATTCGGTATGGAATTGGTTTTCAGATTTCTTTTGTTCGGTATTCCCGAAATCCCGAAATATTCTTTTGTTTTTGGTTCCTACTTTCCCGCGCTACATTTGCAAAGAACAATGAAAAAATAAAATAAAAAGCAGAGCCTTTCGGTTCCACTAGCAAAGGAACAAAAATAAAATAATATGGGAAAGGCATGTGATGGTGATGCCTTGTCGGTTTGGGATAAAAGCACAAAGCTTTTTTGGAAACTAAAAGCACAAAGCTTTTGTTTTGGTTTTGAATCTTGATTCTTGAGGCAGAGAGAGAGAAGCAGTCTTCGTGTTGGGAAGCAGAGATAGGAAGAAGCTTTCTCCTCTCTGGCCTCGACCCATTTCTCTCTCTATCCTCTCTGAAGCTCTCTCGTCTCTGGGTTATGAATCCTCAGCGCTGCGCATGCATGATTCATAACCCACAACAAATAATTCCATTTGATGATCACTGAAGCTTGAGAGAAAAAGATTGGATTTTTGCATGTGGGTTCTGAAGGATTTGTGCAGAAATGGCATAAGAACATGTGATTGTGAAGAGGAGTGGGTGTGGCCGTGTGGGGTTGGGAGCGAGGTGGACTCAGAGTCGCCGCCGTGCTCGAAGAAAAAGATTGGATTTTTGCATGTGGGTTCTAAAGGATTTGTGCAGAAATGGCATGAGAAGATGTGATTGTGGAGAGGAGTGGGTGCGGGGTTGGGAGCTAGGTGGATTCGGACTCGTCGCCGTGGTCGTTGCTTTCTGAGAATGGTGGAGGTGGCGGAGGAGAATGGTATTAAGATCTCTCAGGAGCAGGCTTGTGAAGAAGCCACTGGAGATGGCTGGTGTTGGCTGCGTCCCGAACCGTACCGAAAAACCGAAAAATATTCGGGAATACCGAAATTCGGGAAAGGCAAAATTTCGGATCGGTTTCGGTTGCTAAAATCTCATCCCGAACTTTTTCAGTTCGGTATTTGGTATATAGTTTTCGGTTCGGTATCCCATACCGAACCACCCCTATGTATGAGTATAGAGAGTAAATTTGGTGTAGAAATAGGTCATATGGGTTCACCTCGTCAACCTCAATTTCGCAGGCACAAGCTTTGGGCGCGGCTTATCTCCGATGATGAACTCGTCGATCGCTTCATCTTCGACGATGACCTCGTCGACTGGGTCATCTCCATCATTTTATTCTTCTTCGTTGGTTCGCAATCGCCATAAGTGTGGCTTTGAAGATGCTGATTTTGCTTTGGCTTCGGCTTGCCTCCTCGTTGACTGGGTCATTTCTGCCATGGATGCTCTGTAATCTCCGTCTGTATGACTTTTTACATTAGAGAAATTGGGGATTTGTCTTGCAGTGAGAGAGGGGAGATTCATCATGCTAATTGGAGATTCATCTGGCATCTTTGGGGATTCTTTTGGATTCATCTTTATGCCATTTCATGGATCTGCAGACAACAAGTTAAGAAGAAAAAAAACAAACAGAGCAGGGTGGAATAAAATTTTAGTTTTTTTTTTTTAATTCATTGAATTTAGAAGATGATTGGTGTCTGAGTTGGTATTTAAATTAATGAAAAAAAATGTTGATTAATTTTGAAATGTTGATTAATTTTTGGATCTGAGTTCTCTGAAATAAGTATGATGTGGGTTTTCTGAAATAAGTATGATTGTTGGCTTGGCAGTTCATGAGTTCAATTAGAAGTTTTCATAAGAAAAAATTAAAAATAAAAATTTAGTCATAACTAGTCCGATAGTGCACCAAATGTTTCACAATTTTAGTATTGCTTAGTCCAAGCCAAGCCAATCTAATTTAGTCTCTGAAACTAATTCAGTCCGAGATAATCTAGTACAACTTCTTAATCCGTGCCAAGTCAATCCAAATTAATTTTCTAAACTAATTCAGAGATAATTTAATGCAATAAACGCATCTTAAAAGTCACTGCTCCCATCATCCAATCGGTCCTCCATCCCGCTATCATGCGCCGTTGTAGTAGGCGCGCACAATGGACATGCGCCAACCACATCATTACCCAGTCGCTTCCGCATCCACGGCGTCGAACAACTGACTCTAATATTAAATGTCCTTGAAATCTCGGCATAAAAAAGTATTCCCCCATTCTCGGTCTCCACCCATATGTGCAAATCCAAAATGTCAGTCGACGCCGCCCAGCCAGTCTCCACCCCTCGCCGGACCCCACGCACCCATCAATCCACCCACCCAACTTCCGCCGCCTCCTCCTCCTTCGAACAGCCTTCCACCTCCAACACCCACAGCGGCGGCCACAACACCTCCATCACAAGTTACAAGCTCTCTTCCTCCACTTCCTCCTCCACCTCCTTCTCCAACCTCAAAGACTCCCTCCCCGTCCCCGAAAACCCCATCCTCTACGACTTCTCCGAACTCTGCGCCGCCACCAACAACTTCCTCTCCAAACGCCTAACCGACACCTCCACCCCCTCCTGGCGCTGCAAACTCCGCGGAAAAGACGCCGTCGTTTTCCAGCGCAAGTTCCGCGTCAAGCTCTCCGCCGCCGAACTCAAAAACCGACTCTCCACCCTCTGCCGCAGCCACCACACCTCCATCATCAAGCTCCTCGGCGCGTGCATCTCAACCGACCATACATTCCTCGTCTACGAATTCGTCCACGGCGCCAGCCTGGCAGCCTGCCTGCGGAACCCCAATAACCCGAATTTCACGGTCCTGTCCACGTGGACCTCACGTATGCAGATCGCCACCGATCTCGCTCAGGGCTTGGACTACATCCACAACAACACCGGCCTCAACGTCAATTTGGTCCATAACCACATCACAAGCGGCAGCGTTTTGGTCACCGAACCGCACTACAACGGCCTCATCTGCCATTTCGGGGCCGCCCAATTGTGCGGCGAGACCGATTCCTACACCCTCCAAAACTCTAATCCCAGACCGGGAGACCAAATCGAAGGCCCCACGTCGAGATTGAGCCGATCCGACAGCCGGAAAAACCAGTTCGAAGGCGTGAGAGGGTACATGTCGCCGGAATTCCGGACCACCGGCGCGGCGACCCAGAAGTCCGACGTGTATGCATTCGGGATCGTAATCTTGGAGCTTTTGTCGGCTCAGGAGCCGTTCAAGTACAAGTTCGATAAAACTCGGGGCGATTTTATCAGAACCTCGGTGGTCGACTCGGCGCAGGCGGCGGTTCTCCGCGGAGGTCTGAGGACTTGGGTGGATAACAGGCTCAAGGACTCGTTTCCCGTGGAGGTGGCTGAGAAATTGACACGTTTGGCATTGGAGTGCGTACACGTGGACCCTGATCAACGGCCCAGCATGGAACGCGTGTCGGGGAAGATCTCCAAGCTGTATTTGGAGTCGAAGTTTTGGTCCGACAATGTGAGAGTTCCGGCGGGGATTTCGGTCTCACTTGCCCCGAGATAAAACGCTGTCGTTTTGGTGGAAGAACAATATTCTAATTCTGTACTTTTGTAATTAGGAAATAGGGAATTTGAGAGCGACATAAGTGATTATTTTGAACATTTAAACGATGAATTTCAGTGATTTGATAACGATACGAGTGGGTATATGTTTTTTTTAAGTATTGAGTTTGAATATTTGATACACTCACAAATATGTTATGTCAGTCTTACGGCGTCGGCTACGATTAAAAAAATAGAAAAACTAATAAAAAAAATTTGAAAACTTTAAGTTTTAACGATAAAGATAAAATAAAAGGTAAAGTAAATAGTATCATGATTGATTTTTTAATATACAAAAACTTTTCGTTAATATTTTTTATTTATTTATATTCTCGTAATCAAATATAAATCGATATATTAACATTAACAACTAATGTATTAAAAAGTCATATTACCTCATAATCATCTGATTTTATGTACCTTTCTCTTTAAACGCATACGCAACCATCTCATTTGCTGCTTTGTTGCACCTTGAAAGAGAAAACTTAGAGACAACAAACTTTATAACTGTAACTTGTCACCAATTGTGTTTACCATCCGTTGTCCTTATTTTTAGAGAAAAAAACAGATAATCGGAAAAGGTTAGTCCATGGACTGCGTTTACAATTTTGTAAAGTCAAAAGCTTGACTGAAATATACGAAAATTCAAACGTCGAACGTCAAACAACATAAGTAGGAACTCGGCCAAGTTGGCCAACCGGCAATAATAAGCGCTGACCAAATGACAGTGACCACAACAATATGTCAAAACTGAGTTGCATGCAGGGGCGGAATCATTTAAGCGAGTCGGGTGGTCTCCGATTCATGCATGACATGGGAGGAAATGGACCTCTCTTTCCCTGTCGATTGTCGATCGATGATTAGAAAAACAACATTGTATTATGCTAGTGCCAGTCGTCAATGTATGTGTGTGTTACTGTGAGATGTTAATGCATTAAAAATTTGAAATTTACATGCATCTATAATTGCAAAACAAATACCAAATTAGAAGAAGTGCGACATAAGAATAGAAAACTTAAGTTGTGATACCACGCAGAACTATGGAATTCAATTATTGTATTGATAGCACACTAATCTCTTTATTTTTAGTCCATCTTCTCTGCTCCACACTAAGAAACATCTTTGATTAACTTCGTCACTTCAAAAAAAGTCCAAGCTACAAATATGCAAATGATAATTATTCAAGCAGGGAGTCCTGAATTGAAGCAGCTCATCATAGATTATATTTCTATCTGCTATCTTTTCGAGTATATTTCTCCTCCATACACACTCAGGAATAAAAAAGAGAATGAGGTATATGTTAGTAAACGTGGAGAGATTCATGAATCGAAATAGTTACAATGGCTAGTCCAGGTAATACAAGCGGAAGTGGTATTCAACTAATGGGCATAATGACCAATATATCCATAATCCAACCCTTGATTTATTCATGAACACACTTGGTATACGTGATAGTCAACACCAACTCGAAGAAAAATTAACCAGGGACTTGATTACATGGCCAATATGTACTGAAACTCAAAATCATATGGCATTTTCTCAACAGTGGTAGTAATATTGCCACTGCTAATTTGACCCCTGAAGCAGTCCACCATTGATTTTCTCAATGACCCAGATGTTGGTAACTGGTGGCAAACCCACTGAACTAGTGAGTCCACATCCACAGCAAAATCAAACATGTTTCCTAGCAGCAGTTCTGGGAACACAATTTTCTTTGAGCTGGTCACCACAATTGATGCTTGCAGGTACTCCAACTTTGATCTCTCCAACTCAGCTACAACACCGTCGGCCGTGTATATCCTCACCTGAAAAACGTAACATTAATTTCCGGAAAAGATGGTAGCATTAGTACATTAATCAGATGCAATGTTGGAACATTCTATATCAATTGTACCGCGGGAGAAGAACGAGTTCCACAACACAGTGCAAATGTAACATTAGGATCCATGGACTCGAGACCGTAGAGTTCGCGGATGCCTTTATCATCTTTCTCACCATTCCGAAAAGCCTGTGGAAAATGACATGATATGAGAACATACTAGTACAGTATAAACCAAGCATTTGATCATAAGATCAGTCATATTTACCTCTTGCATACCGGAAGGTGCTGGCTTCCTCAAAATGTAATGCTCTATGGATTCAGCATTTAAAATCTTTCCCCCTATGTTCAGACTTGCCTGAATCAAATATTATTCGTTACTCGTAAAGATTAGTAAGGAAATAAACTTTTGAGCAGATATATCTAAAAAAATTTTCTGCCAGTCAATGCCTATACTTTCATATATGCCAATTCGATGCTTAATTTCAGCTAAAGCTTGGGGCTTACCTTGTTCATCAATGCGAATAATTTTTCCACGGACGAAGGCACTCCGTACTGGAGAAAACCCTGATAAATAAAAAAACTTCAGTAATCCAGCATGAGAGCTTGAAAAGGATTAGGCACACTTCAGACTTGCATCTCTTAATTGAATATTAATAAGCAGAAGGAAAAAATGGCATTTTTTTGTATACATACATTCATTATACAAGCATTGTAAATGTTGACCCAGAATGCTAGCTTCTGTTGGTATGTCAAGGACCCCAAATCCACCACCTGGAGATAGTTCATCAATACCCTGATGCACAAGGACAATAGGAAAATAATATTAAAAAGTCATGATATGAAACCACGTGATAGTGTTACGATCACAAAGACGAAAACAACTAGTAAGTACCTTAATTTTTTTAGTAAAGGAATAGAGTTGGAGGCTGAAATGGATTTTGGATCCATGGAGATTGAAGTGAAAGTAACCAAGTTTTTGTAAGGGCCAATGTCTCTAGGAATACACTCTTCCACATTGAAGATGCCATAAGGGTCTTGTTGCCTTGACTCCTTTTGTAACAAAAGGCTTGACTTTGCGTTTGCGCCAGTATCGTCCCTGAAGCTTCTTGAGGTTATGGAAGAGTTGATAGACCTGGAAATGGGGCCTGACTTCTCTATTTCCATTGTTCTTGTTGCTCTAAGCAGCCTAATGTATATGAAGTTTAGACACTTCATGATTTCCTCAGAGAGCTTGTTTGGTTGCCAATTCTGGCTGTTCTCTTCTAATTGTGTTGGAATTGGTACAGATTTTGGTGGGAGTTCTGAAGTAATCCCTGGATTACGTTCTTTTAACTAAACAAAAAAACAAAGCCATGCATCAATTAATTGGTGATAAGCATCTTCAGGCATGAAACTATGAAATGAAATGAATTAGTCTCATCAAATTAACATTAGTAGCTCACGTTACCAAGCATAATAAACTAAAAGTGGAATAATAATCTTTGGGTGCAGCACGTTATACGTAATCTCCCTCTCAATACATGCCTGTATACTATCAGTAAGATCTACATGCACATTATAACAGAGAGTTGTTACATATAACTGATGCATACAATCTTTTTGAAATTATAAAGACGGAATAAAAAGGAATGTAACAAGTTAGGGCGCACCTTGGGTGACGGATGTCTTGGAGCTCGCAAGGGCGAGGGTGCCCTCAAGGGCGAGGGTGATCTCAAGGGCGAGGGTGCCCTCAAAGATCCGTTGTTTCTCGGAAGCTTATTTTGAAATTTAACATCCTCGTAGAAATAATTTTCTTTCTGGTCAGAAAATCCTCTCGAGTATCCAATTTTTTCGTTTGGACTGAGGTCGTTAAGGTGATCATAATCACCCTTGATTGCTTTACTTATGAAATGCAATGCCTTGGTCTCATGATACCCCATTCTCTGGCTCTCATTGTTAACACTTCTGTGTATGGGGCTTGGCATTGCTACATTTGATGCACGAGGAATGGGGTTACTAACTAGGTTTCCGTGTTGCCATTGGTTGGATAGTTTTGATTCCTTTGTAGCTTCTTGTTCATGCTTCAATCCAAGTTGAAGTTGGCTAATTTGGCCTTCAAGTCGACCAATTTCTCCTTCAACCATAGCTAGCTCTGCCAAAAGCTCCTTCATCTGCGTTACTCATAGAGGAGAGTATTATATTTACTCTTTTATGAACAACGAAGTAGTTACATACTAGTAGAACTATGATCCCAATAAAGTAGTTATACCAGTAGAAGTTAGAACAATAAAGTAGCTTCATTAACAACTTATTTTTTTGGTAGATGTGTATATGCAATGAGCCTCAGTTGAGTCAGCTGAGGGATTCCTTAATAATTTTGTTTGAGGGACGCTTTTGTAGAGCTTACTCCATTGCATTTCAACAATTGGAACTATTTAATTTTTAGGTTTTCTTTCAAAGATCATCTTTACAAAAATCGATCACACAAATCGGACATACAGGTGATTTTAGATCTTCTTATAGCCAAATTGGAAACCAAAGATCATCTCTGCAATGCAAGTTTAAATGGTGGTCATCTTGGTGATTTTTGAAGCACCATATTTGTATATATTTTTGTCATTATAATCGAATCTTAATCATTTTGAATTTATCTAATTTGTTGCGAAGAAGATCTATGAGTGATGAATTAATACATATGCAACACATATATGCTGGCAAATTGTAAATCATGACTATTTAGGTGGAATCATATATAAATGTCCAATGTCTAATCTTGACTTACTTAGGATCTAACCATACAAGATGCATGCCATGCAACATACAAAGTTATTCTTTAATTAATATGTTATAATTCTTAACATCTGTAGTATAACTTTGTATAAATTGTCTAACTGTCAAAAAATCCCATGCATAAAAAAGTCAGCCGCATGAGGTAGCTTAAAAGGAAGAAGATAAATACCTTGGGAGGAAGAAATCTTGGGATAGAAATAGCAGAATCACCATTTTTCCGATTGTGGACTTGGTCCAAAACCTCATGTACTTTCTCTTCCTGATGAAGCATTCTTTTAAGCAAAGAAACCTACAAAATAAATAAGGAACTTGTCAATACGACTCTCTCATCATACATTATATGACTCCTGAACTTAGAGTATGAGAAAAGTTTAAGACCAAAATTTAGATTCTGAAAAAAATTTAAACTCCTAAACTTGTTTTTTATACAATGATATATTTACACTAAAGAGTGACGACTTAATTAAGGGGTATGGTTTTCTTTGCTGTAAAATGCTGGTAGGGGATTCAATTAAGGGTTATGGTTCTCATTTATTGCTTCATGCTTTTGGGTAAGAACTGCTTTGTCAAAAGTTGCACTTCAATAGTATGTCACAGTTTCAAAAAAATTTAATTTGGTTTCCTTGACAAAGAACATGTACTAATTAAATTGGCCTTGGGAATCCAATGGATATTAAGTACATATTCTCCTTGCAAAATATGGCTCCCCAGCTGGAAGAACCAAAAGTTTGAAAGATAAACCATGAAACCTTGAAGAAATATAATGGTAGATAGTTATGGATGCCTAAAAATGATGTGTTCATAAACATGATTCACCCCTATCAGTTTTAGCTATTTTTCTTATCCTAGTACGTAGGCCAGGAAGGTGACCCCATCACCCTATGATTGCAAATTTTATGGGCTAGTGTCAGTCCGCCGGTGAGATATTATTTTGAATGGTGTTATTTACGCACTCATTTTTATTTTTTATATTTTTCTTAATTTTCGACCGTCAAATCGAATAAACAAAAAAAGATCAATGAACAAAATTAATAAGGGTATGTGAATAACATTATTCATTATTTATACAACCCGACAAATACCCTGACAGATGTGGGTTTTATTATTGAATGTGCGATGAGATGGTGCGAGTGTTAGCAAGCATGTTAATTTTGCAAGTATTTGCAACTCTTATTATGTGTATAAATCTATATTATTATTATTAAGAGAACCCTTCTTGTCAACTTTTTACCATTTTTTCTTATTATGCCCTCACTTTTGATACACACTATTGACAAAATGAGGGCAAAATAGTAATTTCGTACCTTTTGACAAAATGACAACCATATCTCTATTCTTCCTATTTTACCCTCTTTTTATACTTATTTTTCCAATTTTACCATCACTTTTGATACATAATATTTACATAAAGAGGATAAAACAATAATTATGTAATATTAATAAAAATATGCACTTATTAAGAGAAATTGTTCACACACACAAAGTGTGTGCTCTTTGCTAGTATATATAATAAATACTTGCTTTGAGTGCCATTAACTAAGTGAAGAGAATTTTTTATGTATTTGAAATATGAGCTGGTACACTATTGTTATAATATAAGTAGAGAGAGGTGACATATTTTTCAATACTTCTTCATTTGTATTATGACAGGTGATATACCACTCGTATTCCGAATATACATAAACAAATAGTGCCGCAAAATTGCTAGATACTCTTCGTTAAAACAACTTTAATCAAATATTAATATTCAGAGAAGGACTCGAGTCCCATCCTACGTACCTCTCTTTCAAGTTCCTCTTTCTTTCGTTGCCCAGAAAGTTTCTTTTTTCTCTGCATTTCCAAATTAACAAACTCTAATGCATAAGAAATTGATCATGAAATAGCTAGCTACAAAGAGTACAATTCAAGGCTAACCAAAATAAAAAGTAAAATATTACAAATGATTTACATTATGCAACATTTTTTAACATCATCAAGCGTCACAGATTCATATGGAACTTACAATGTCCGACGGAGTGCGAACGGACAAGTCGCCGGGGCTCGCCATGAACAAAACCTCAGTGCAGCTTAGCTTGAGCCAACTCCAACGCTTACAAGAGGCAACATAAAGCCAAGAGGGTAAGATGTTGTTGGCAGTATTTTTGGTGAGGTTTTGAATATGTTCAAAGCAGTGTTGATGTGAGGACTTAATAAGCTTAGTGCCAAAGCAAGGGTGGCAGCTACTGGTTGTTTCTGTTGTTGACGTTTGGTTTAATGAATGAAAAGAACTTTGAGGCGTTGAAGAAGAAGATGAGAGAGAGCTTTCGGGCTGATGATCATGTTGTGGGTGGGACATCATGCAGGGAAAATAAGAGGGGGTGGTGTGGTGGTGGAGTGAGAGGTACGTGGGAGGGTTTTTGGGTTTGGCGTAGCTTGCAATTCTGGCTTTTGGTTTAGCGGTTATACCTTACAATTACAAAGACCTAAAGCTCTTTATATAATTATAGCAAACAGTAAATACAGTCATGTATGAATGATCATTATCAATAACCTTCACTACCATATCTTTTTTCTTTTCTTCGACTATAGATATAGAGGGACGAACCCGAGACTTCTAATGTAAATGCGAATGTTTTTAACTAATTGAATTATAAGTCTTTGTTACTTTTAGCCATAGTTAAAAGAACGAATTTTGTAAAATTTGAGATATATGAATAGTAAGATGTCTAGATGCTTATGTTGTCAAATTATCATTGTAATCCACCTTAAAATAATAGAATTAAAAGGGATGAATTTCTTTTATAGCTAATCCTCTTCTAATCCCTCCAAATGAAAATTCCTTCACTTCTACTTTAAATATGCCTTGAAATTTCAGAATTCTTCGTTGCAATCAAATCTTGTGTACTAAACAAGCCCTAAGAGACTTGTTTTTGGTTATCCGAAATAGATGAAAGATACAAATATGACCCTCGTACTATGGGGAAATTCAAATTAATACACCTTATGGATGTAGATGTATTAGCATTCTCACGCATGCTAAGCATGTAGGATAGCATGTTCTTCACATTCCCACCCCATCCCGTCCCATCCCGTCCCGTTAGGACGGATGACCAACGGGGTGGCGGGATCAGGGGAAACTTGTCAATCCAACTGCTTTATCTTGCTCATTTGTCAGTTAATTGTAGGGCCTATTTTATGGTATGAAATACCAATGATTGTAAAAGAAAATTATCACAAATCGATGTAATGAAATTCCTAGAGGGCACTTCCCCTTCCATGAAATAATTAATGGCCCTCTCACTGTCTCTTTAATAATTAATGCGATTGGTGTATAATAATGTAGATCAAAACAACCCCTAGAGGAGGAAGGTTTAAGTTTAATAATGTGGGTCAATACAAACCCTAAACCCTGCTATGGCCATCACTACCTAGGAGGCAAATTCTCTGTCCTCCCACTTTCCGTGCCCTCCTATTTTGTGTGGTCACGGTTAAGATGTTGACGTGGCTTAACCGTGACCGCACAAAACAGGAGGGCACGGGAGGGCATGGAAAGTGGGAGGGCAAAGAATCTGCCTCCCACTACTTAATGTGATTGGTGTTTAAAGCCATAGTTAGCTAGTGGTGATGGCTTCGTGTCCCAACGTACATCAAATCTAGTGAGTTATCTAAATCCAAACACTAAACAAAGCCGAGTCCCAACACATAGTTTGACAACTAACACCAACCATGATCATTACTCTGTACAATGTTGTTGACCATAAGATTGTTTAGGCCAATTACATTATCTTAAGTTTGAAACAATTACCCAACATTTGGATAGAGAAAATAAACTAAAAATTCAGAAAAAAAAAATGTTTTTTTTTAAATTAATGCGCACTAATTCTTTCATTTAAATTCGTAAGTACAAAGGTAAAAAAAAAATTGCGTATACAATAATAAACTTTAAATTTCGAAGTACTAAAATTTCAGGAGTTTTAAGATGAAAAACAAAAAATCACGTACAACACCGCCGACATCACAACCACCTTGCTATGGCCATCACCACCACCATTTTGGATGTTACACATTCTCCTCTTTCTATACATGGTGGTGCAGAGGGCTCAGCACCATAAACAATCCCAACTTCCCCTCCCCCTCCTTTGAAGTGTAAGTGGACTCCTCCATCAAACCAAAACCAACCAAAAGATTGTTCTCCTTTCCCAAGTGGTTGAGCTCCACCTTCACATGAATCTTGGGGCCGAGGCCTGAAACACCGAGCTCAGGCCTTGAGTCCTACAAACCGTGGATGGACCCAAGACCCATGCTCGGAGCTCGTATTCAAATGCTCATCCAAACATGATAAAACTTTTCAACCAACATCTCCTTCCTCGATTGCATTCCAATTCTCATCTCACTCTTCGCAAAGAAACACAACAAAAACAATCCTAAACAAACATTTCTCACACTACACAGTACAGGCAAACGTCGCGAAATTTCAAAAAACACAGAACCGTGTGGATACAAATCATATAGAAACAAGCGATATTGTACATCAAATGCGTAACAGGAAACTTTACGAGGAAGAGCTACACTGAATAAATAAAATGCCTCTGTTATCTATAAGCCTACATATTGGAAAAGCTACCTAAAGGAAATGCCACGTTTACTCTTATCTACAGGTTGCCACTATATTAGTTCTTCTGTACACAACAATCTTGTAAATCTTTGGTCATCTTCTCGATATGTTTAGAGACTCCAAGGGTCAAGTAGTGAGACAAGCGTCTCCATTCATGTAAGGAGGGAAGGGGTTGAAAGGATCAAGACTGATTTTACTTCTTTTGCAAGAGCACCATTAAAAAGTATGCAATCCCTCGAAAAACAATACCGGTGATGACGAGGAAGATTATACTACGGTTCCAATGATTGAGATCATAACCATTTTTCATAAGTGAACCGCATCGCGTTATTAGCCACACTCCAGAGTACCTAAAAATAAAAGAAAGCAAGAGGCTATAATATCTTCCCGAAGGATGATGCACAATAATTTTTTAGAAATAACAGGTTATTACAAACCTTTTGGCATTTGATATGACAAAAGCTTCCAAAGCCCACTTAGTGTAGCACAAATCAGCTATTCTTGAAACAAATTTGTTCTCGTTGTAGTTTGCGATCAGAGTCAAAACGACTGGAAGAAGTACTGACCACTGCATGACACAACAAATGGCTTAAAACCAGAAGGGGAAAAAAAACGCATGCAGATACATTTACACATTCCATTAATAATTTCTCGATGTGAAAAAATTCTTACCAGTTGGGCTGGACCAGGTGCCAGGTAGATGGACAACGCATAAGCTATACCGGTAACACAGTATACCAGACAAATCAAAACAATGTAATTATCTATGATAGATGATCTTGGATTGTTGAAGAAATAGAACATAGAAAGATACACAAGAGGCTTAATGATTGTATTGAAATGGTCAACTGTATCCTTTGAAAGAAAGTACGCCAAGCTACTCATGCCAGAAGAGCTCTCCCTCCAGTAGTGCAACTTATCCAGTCCAAACGTTCTCAAAGCAGCAATCTTGCACAGGAGAGCTGAAATGCAAACAAATTAGGAGGGGTGAGAACTAAAATATGTCTTGGTAAAAAGCTATTATTTGAGGACACGAACATGAGTAGTGATTTGACATGAATGTGGGTATCAAACACGTCAATTTCCAAACATACATAATGGCATGCAAATAGATATAGGGTAATGTTCTTTTCACAAGCAATCCAGCATTACTAAGAATGTTGCAGACTGTCAATTGAGATCATATGTCCAAAGGGCAGAGAGAGACTATAAAAATATAATTTACTTACTGTCTTACAAGAGAAATTATAAAAATATAATCTAATGACCTATGTGAGATTTGGGTACAAGTTTAGGGACTATTACTCTATTTTAGTCAACAAATTATTTTTTACTCATCAAATTATATACATCTAAATGGCATGTCCCAGACTTCCAGAGTTCCAGTAACTTCCCAAAGAGGCAAGTTGATTATGAAAACATCCTAGACCATAAAGTAAAATCAGAGTTTAAGGAAGCGATGCATAATCAAGCAACAAAATAGTTTACTTACAAACTGCTATGACTGTGTATGTATAACCGAGTGCACCAAAGGTTTCATCGCTCACTTTAGCAAGTGTTCCTAAGCAGATTCCAGCTAGCAATAAAATAAGAAAATCTACAGCTTGTGTTCTAGCTTCTCGTAACCGCTGCTTACCTCCCCTGTAAAATCCAGAAATACAACAAATCAAGTTGAACCATTAGAAGCAATATAATCTTAATAGCAGTTAGCAGTTGCAGGAAATAGACTCTGCTGAGGGTAACAGGTACACTGTGTGACAGTGGCAAGCCTATGGATACTTCATTGTTAATTGTCTAAGCCTTCACAGATAACTAATTAATATCGTCTTAGCATCTTGATTCTTTTTCAAGTATAGCGGAAAAGTAAAGATGATAAGTGCCATCCTTACTAGCATAATATGTATGTGCAACAATGCAAAGAATTATCCCCACCCGCTCTTAGGTTATCCTACTGCTAAATGCCCCAAGGTCTTAACTTCTCTTGCATAATAAAACTCAACACATTTATACAACACTCATCATATCCATATGGTTGATATCTATAGAAAAATAGAAATTTTTGTGAACCAAAATACTAAAAAGAGAATATCCACCTTCCAAGGAAGTATCTATATTGCTGGAACACGCCAGGGGTAGTCCGTTCAGATAAGTCGTTTGACTTTAAAAAATTATGTTGTATAGCGTCCTTATTCACCTCAACATGACACTTAACATCCTGCCAAAAGTCTCCAGAAAAGGACTGTCCCTCAGATCCAGCATTTGGAGTACTTCCTCCATGAGCTGAACTTTCACCGGCAGATGCAGCCATCCCATCAACACTCTGAAGCATATCCATAGGAACTGGGTACCCATTATGAAGCATCCATCTAACAGGTAGTTGCTTATAGGTCACCCCTGTGGTTGTATTTGGTTTTACTATGCCTTCCAAAATATCAATGAAATAGTCTGGAGGGTTGACACGCTCAGGGACGGTAATCCCAAGACTAGCAAAGTACTCTTCAACTTTCTTCACTGATCCATGATACACCGTAAGTCCCCCTTTAGCCAGAAGGATCAAATCATCAAACATCTTGAACAAGGTATAGCTGAAGCACCCAAAAAAAGACAATAAGGAAAACAAACTACTTAAAACTGACTAACAATGAAATTCAAATATTACTTTTCCTTCAATGGTCCACAAAGTTTAGTAGCCCAATTTCCAAGACATGTTTTATGTATGCTCATTGTTTTACAAAGATTTGTAGTAAATGTCATGAGTTCTCACTTTCCTTCTCCGAGGAATCAATCTCATCCTAAGCATTTAGGAGTACAAATTGTAGATTAAAAAATTTAATATAAAAGTAAAAGCTAGCATACAAATAAGTGTGTCCCGCAACCTATAACCAATTGTCTTTTCTACCCACCAAAGAAATAACTTCGATAAGAAATCAAATTTAAATAAAATGATTTCCGAATCGAAATGTATCTGAGTGTGATCCAAAATGTAGGGACACATTGTGAATTTTTCAAGTAAAAGAAAGGCTTTGTGGTCTAGGATATATGTGAACCATTCAGAATGCTCTGAAGGATTTAAAAGACCATCAAGGAAAACCATGCAAATATTAAAATAAACAAGTTACCTCAAAATGTGCATTCTAGTACTTACGACAAATTATATTACCTAGGTTGGTGGACAACCATGCAAATGTTAACTCCTTCAAGAGCCTCACGTCGAAGAGCTTTCAGTAATAAATTAGAAGACGAACTATCCAAACCAGATGTAGGTTCATCTAAAATTAGAAGTGATGGTTCCATGACCATTTCTAGCCCAACATTTACTCGCTTTCTTTGACCTCCAGAGATACCTCGCTTCTCCACCGTCCCAACCAGGGAATCCCGCACTGCCTGCAGGCCCAAGGATTCAATAACTCTTTCAACGACTAAGACCTTTTCTGGTTTAAGCAGATCAGCAGAAAGTCTACAATAACCAGAAAACAGAAGAAAAGATAGTAGAAGAACTAATGTCAGTACCAGTAAAAGAATGTCACCAAGGACGTAAGAAAGAGATAAAATAAAAAAGAGAGATGCTAAGAGACTCTCGAAGTGAGACTCTCCATGGACTCTCTGCCACGTCACAATTTAACGTTAATTCCCATGCCAACGTTATAAAACATTGTGCCAAAAAAATATGACGTGATAGAGAGTCCATGGAGAGTCCCACTTTTGAGAGAGTCTCCTTAGCATTTCTCAAGAAAAAAGGAACAACAGAAAAGAGCAGAACAGTCCAAAACTGATCAGTGTCTTTGATATTGCCTAGTAAGTGGCTCTATAAGCCTTTTCGACCAAAACAAAAAAGCGGTTCTGTAAGCCTAAGTTAAATAGAATTTTGATCATATTTCGTGTTTGTTCCCAAAAATAGCAGAAAGGATATGCACATGAAATTCAAACAAAAAAATGAAAAATATGTATTAAAAAAAACATTTAGAAGCTTAAAAGCTTTACTGTTTGATTCAAGAATCCATACTTTGAGTTAGTTGTTGACTCCACATCACTATTTGGTAGGAGCTGGGCAACTATTCGCAAATTCACTTCAGAATTAAGAATCATTTACATGTCAGTTTTTTTTTTTTTTTTTTTTTACTACAGACCACTCCTAGAACAATAGTGCTACTTCAAGATTATTAGAGTCCTATTATTTCTTAAAAAATGGACCTAAAGAAAGGAATCAAGAATTTTGTTGGATACATAGATTGTTGCTTCAGAGATTGAAGTTGTGAATCATAGGGCTTAATGAAGTAATTAAAAATCAAACAAAAACCAATAGATTCCCACACATATACATGCTAGTCGGTAATATATTTTCACAAGATCATTTTGGAAGCTTTGTACTTGAAATGTCAATGTTAGAAAACCACCCTGCATCATCAGATTGACAAATAAGAGGCGAATAGTAATGGGAAATTCCAAACCCAAAGACCTCTTGCAACCAATATCATGTTAGACAACCATTGGACCCAAAGTTTAAGCTGTTAGAGAATGGACCAACCATACAAACAAAACTAGCAGCAACTATGCAAACTAAATGTGCATACCTGCATCTTGCGCTAAACCAGAGATTCTCTTCAACTGTCAAATTTCCATGCACAATATCATCTTGTGGCACAAAGCCAATGATTTTCTTGTAACAATGGATAGATTCCATCTTTCCATTTACAAGTATCATACCAGTCATTGTGCACCCCCTCACTTTTCCAACCAAGGCAGACAGAAATGTTGTTTTTCCAGCCCCGGATGGACCCATGACAGCTGAAACCCGGCCAGGCGATATTTTCCCAGTCACACACCTCATAAGATGTTTATTTTCCCCTTTCAACGTGAGAGTTAGATCTTTAAAAGCAACCTCAATTGGAGGTCTCTTGCTGATTTCAATATCACTGGCCATTTGTATGACCCCAGAGAAGGTTAAGTTTGCATTCTGCTCCTGTAACGCCTTTTCCTTCTCAATTTGGCCATATGCATACTTGAAAATTTGACTCTGAGTATGCAACTGCTTACCTTTCGGTGCTTTCGGTGCTTGCTTTTTAATGTTTTTATCTCCTATTTCTAGATTGAAGCCTTCATGACTATTTGGGTCTTCCTCGATTGCATTTATCATTTGTGTGAGGTTGATTTTTTCCTTCATCTTTCCTTTAGATGTTCCAGCTGATTGCTCACCTATCCCGGTTGGCATAGGTGGCAAGGCACCATCTGATCCAGGTTTAGCCTGTCTGAATCCTTTCAGCGGGTCTGACTTGGTAGATTTTCTGCGAGAAAATGTACGTGAAAACTGTGTTGACAATCCAACTGCATGCTTCTTGGCAATGTCTTTCGCAGATTTCCATTTTTCACGTGCTTGTGCATTTTCTCTAACACTTTGGACTGCTTTTTCCCTGGATTCCGCTTGTCTTTTTTCTCGAGTGGCGAGAACTTGGTCAGAACAATTATATATAATGAGAAGGATGAAAATTAATCCAGCCTGCATTCACAAAGAAAGTTCATCAGTACAGATGTTCTAAAAAACATTGCGAAAAACATTTATGAGACAACCTGTTAGCTCCTTGGAAAATATTGTGTTTGACACATATAATAGAAGGGAGATAACAATGTAAGTACTCCATGAATAGGTCATTCCACAAATTTAAATAGCCACCAGGGTACAAATTTAAAGAACCACGATTCTGATCGTGGTTCTAGAAGCTTACATTTGTCATCTCAATATTAAAGGAGTAAGTAAGACCACTCACAAAAATCATGATACCATATGCAGTAATATTTTGATTTTCTGATTGCGACTTACAAGTTGCCATCCGGAAACATTCTGCAAGTTAAACAACAATGGATATTATCACTAGATTCAAAAGCATAGATAACAATCAGACTCGAAGCTCAAAAGCAATAGACCATTGTAGAAAACAAAAGCATTATCTGACATCTAACATGACCAATGTTTTAAAAAGTGAAGGCGAAGCCAAGGCATTTCATGGATAGCCTCGCCTAGGTGATTGCCTTGAGCCTTGAGGTGTGAGGTGAAAGCCTCACAGTTCCTAAAATTATTATAATACTTAATGTACATAATATATATATATATATATATAAAATACTTTGTAAAAAAATCAAGCAAGCATGTCAAACAATCAAATATTGGACTATTATTATTATTGCTCTAATTCACATGCCGTTCTGGGTTTGGGCTTAAAAAGAGATAAAAAAATCAAACGCCCAGGTCGCCTAGGCCCCTGAGGCAATAGCCTAAGCATTTAGGCTACTCTGTAGCCCACTCCCTCTGGCAAGAGACGCTTTCTTCATAGCCCCGCCCCAAAAACTGCCTAGATGAGTCTTAAAACTAGTTTTTTTATTACACTGAACAGCAAAGGAAATCATACTATTAACCTGATAATACTCCAAACTAGTTTTTTTTTACAAGTTGCCATCAGAATAGTACTCCAAACTGACATTATATGTACTCTGACAAAACCAAGCAGCTGTATCCAAGTCATAAGTATATACAGAGAAAGATAATAACAAACTTATGCAGTTTGCCAACTTGCCTATATGAGAGTAGTTTGAAAATCCACTATTGCTCAAACAATAACAAGGATTTTCATACCTCTCAACCTCACAACCCATCTCCCTATGTACCCAATCTCATCTTTCTTGGACTCCACTCCCCATACAATTTTTCACTCGAATTCCTCAGATGTTCCCTTTTTGTGTCATCTCATACCCTTGCAACCCTTGGTTCTTGTACTTCTTGGACCTACCACCCTCCCCTAGTGTTGACCCTCTTTTCAACACAGAAATCAATGGTATCTCTGACAACAACTCAGAAGAATCAAGTTTTGAGGATTAGGTCCAAGATAATCACCTTGTCATAATTAACACCATTAACTAGTGCCCCCACTGAAAACTCCTTGTTAAGATTTCTCACACAAATTGTGAAATTGTGGATACTAATTTTCATAAAGATCTTTATTCGTGAGAGTAGAAGGAAATATTTGCTCCGACAGGAGTTTCATGTTGCTTTTAGATGCATTTCTACCATTTTCTAAGATTTATATTTCAAATGTTAGTATCAGAAATTATGTCTTCCTTCACAGATGAACAAGTCGCACACCTAATATGGAATTGTTCCCTTCTTCCATGCCGTTTTTCTTTTTCTTCTGAAAAAGTGTAACTGGCGGTTATTCTTTCAAGAATAATGTTTCCTATAATTATTATCAGATTTGGGACCAAAATTCATATCGCTGTTGCTGAATTTCGCCTTACTAATTTAGTTTTTTCAATTTTAGGTTACTAATGAAATGAAATGAGATTTGGTATCTCTGATTCTATTACATGCATGAAAAGAGAAACTAACCTTCCTGAGTTGTGGAACCTTTCCTGCAAAAGTATCTGCAATGGGCAGAAATTGTCGCGTAAGCATAAATAAAGTGAACAACTGATGGATTCTCTGTTTAATGAAAAAGAATCATCTGTTCAAAACCAGATGATGGTAATCAAGAAGCCCATGTTTTCAGTCGAAATGTACAAACATGCAGCAATGAAGGAATAAAGTAACAACTGGTAAATGTAAGGGCAAAGGACCATTTGGTCTAAGCATCCCTCCACTTTGTTAGAGGAGGTCCTAAGTTCAAATCTCATAAAGGATTGCTTACTGAACAAAACAAAAAAAAAACTTTCAAATGTAAGGACAAGTGCTACAAGTTCCAGGATAATTATCAATACCCACTACTGCAAGGGATTTTTTGGATGGTAGACGGACAATATGATCCACCCGTACAGAATACCTCTTTACTACTAAGGACATCAGCCCACTTATCTGCTCCTCCACAGGTATGGTTTCGCTTCCCAGGAGGTATCTGATAGCTGTATCTGTAGAATATTTCTGCTGATAAATATTAATGTATGCTAAGCATAAGGAAACTTGAAAAGTAGATAGAATTCAGAAGAAAAAACAAAAGTTACAAAAAGAATATGAACTTACGGTTCACATATACCAGATCCATTGTTCAGTTTCGCAAGTGGGCAGTAAGCACCCATTGGGCAAGCTTCATTGATACAGATGAGAAAAGTTAATAACGAAAACCAACAATGCTAACGACTTATATATTACAGAAGTATAGCTTTTCAAAAGGAAAGGATCAAACAAAATTTAGTGGAAGACCATCCAATAAAGCAGTGGGTTCTCACATATGTTCAAGTTTTAACCAGCCCTTTTAAGATTGGCTCCTCATCTCAGATGCAATCTTAGATGTCTATAGAGGTATCTCCACTTTGAAGCCGTGAGAAGTTTGATAGCGGTGGAGTGTATATTGATATTGAAAATCAAAAGTTTTTATAAATGACTAAGATGACACAAATGTTTCAAACAAACATGGTTATGGCTTCAAATCACAATAGTCTCTATGGTTTCGCCTAGATGTCCAGGTATGGCTTATGGTTTTAATTTTGTTGAACACCTTGTGGTCTATGTTCATTACCAATATCAATCAAATCTCCTATTTTTATCAATTTGCACAAAGAACATCCAAAACACGTCACTTGCAGGGTATAGGGTCATATCGCATACATCTATTGATTGGGTCTTCATGACTTAGGAAAATAGTCACAAAATGATTGTAATACCCCTGCACATATTAATTGAGATGGGAGATTTGACTAAAGACTGGTAGCAAATGAAGACCACAAGGGTGTTCTGAACAAAATTAGGAGCACAGGACTTAGCTTGACATGTAAGAGAAATCATATATATGGATCATTTGTGGTTTCAGGCCTAAAATGGATATAGATAAAATTCAATGGAAGAAGGATAGATATCACATAAGAACGAACTAAGATGTCAAGAACTGCACTAACAACTAACAAGTATTAAACACTAGTTATTTTGAAAACGTAATCATTTAGCAGGTTTGAAATACTCACGGAGCATGCAAGTAAGACCATGCGGGCAGAAGAAACCCTCACAACAAGGTTGACACTCATCAGTTCTGACAGGCACATACGTTCGATTTTCCAGGTCAACTTGCTCAGCAGAAGCACAAGCCCACCCAGGCTCACATCCAGAAATCCATACAGTCAGATTACAGTTCTTGTTGGGTTTCAAGTAGGTGGTCTTCTGGGTTTGAAATAAACCTTCAGCGTACATCCTCATTTCTGCGGCTGTGCACAATCGACCCATAACCTCCCCAATTGTTCCACCTACAAACATGATCAGAAATGACAAATGAAACCGACTGAAATGGTTATATAATTATCAAGAGAGAGGAGATTGCGCAACAGTGTCAGCATGCTTTACACAGCATACTTTATGTTTAATGCCAAGTTAACCATGTCCCCATTGCCTCCTAAACTCTTTATCTAAGTTCACTCCGGCGACCTCACACTTTGTTCCGCAACATTACAACATGGAATTTCATTCAAGTTTTGTGCTTTCTCTATCCCGCTTCGCTTAGAAAATTTCATTCAAGTTTTCTCCCCCTCCCATTCGTAACATTTTTTACAACCGGTGTGACCCAAAATTAAAAAATTGATGAGAATGGTAACAACTAAGGTTGTATGTACCTGCCATTTTTTTAGCGCAGTTGGTTACGAACCTTGAATCTTTTGAGAAATTGAAAGCCCCATTCAAATCCTCGTCTCTGTAGGGCAAAAGAAAGTAAATTTTCACTATACCAAATCAAAATTGAGAGAGAGAGAGAGAGAGAGAGAGAGAGAGAGAGAGAGAGAGGCAAACTCACACGTCGATAATGCAGAAGCCAAACTTTTTCAAGAGTTCATCACGGAAGACAGGGGTGAGATTGGAGTAGCGACTCAAGATGAGCTGGGTGGCGAGATCATATCCTCCACCGCCGCCTTCGGAATCCTGCCCCGCCGCACGGGGCAAAGGCGAGCTGGAGAAGAAGCTGGAAAACACGAGCACAGAGAGAGCCCTAACAGAGAGAATTTGGAGATGCTCTCTGCTCATATCGACCGCCTTCACCCTCCAAACAGAGAAACCGACTGGCTGGTTGCAACGTAGCGGCCCGATTGGAGGCTGCGACCGATTGAGGGAGGCGATTCGGTGAATGCAGAGAGAGGGATGGGGAATGCGGTGAGAGGAGGGAGAGTGGGAGAAGAAGCGAGAGGGTTGGTGGGGGATGGTGGGAGGCCATGGTGGAACCAGAGAGGCTGAGGAGCTTTGGGGTTTTTGCTTGTTTTTCGGGGCAAAGAAATGGCGGGGAGAAATAGTCGGCGACGGAAATGGAGGGAGAGAGTTGTGATTGTTTGGACTGTTTGGGTGTCCTGTCGTCAATTCAAACGTCGTCGTTGTTCGGGCAACGGCCCATGGGTCTATTGGGCCTCTTCACACATTGTTCTGGACATCACAAAGAGCCCTTTCATTTTTTTTGTTTTTGGTCAAACGATAGATTTTATTAGATAAGCTATCGACGGGGTTTGAACCCACGCTGTCATTGATTAAGAATTTTCACTACGTACACTTTTGGTTGACCTAAATAAAGGACTTATCAACTAGCGGTAATCATCCTGATAAAACTCATACAATTACGTTGGATTAGATATCAATATATAGCACTCTTAATTAAAAGCCTCCAAATCACTCTCAATTAAGAATCTTATTTATTATGGAATCAACATGCTAAATATTATGATCATGTAAGTGAGAGGTTTTATGTTCGATTCTCGCCAAAGACGAATTTAAACCACATTATTGTTAGTCAATTGTAAGGCTAAGCTCATCTCCTCCACTTTAGTGTAGATAATATCGTTTCTTAAATATATATATATATATATTTATATATTGATCATCACCCTATTACGCATTCTTTTACAACGATCCGAGGTCTCTATTTTTTAGTCTTTTCATTGATTATCCTTACGAAAAATTAATTCAATTTGAAACCATTTATATGTTTAAGTATCATCAAGAAATTTCATATTTTTTAGAACACCACGTTTTTCAATTTCGTTGTCAAAATTAGATGTCTCAATCATTTCTAATTTGGCTAATATTTTGCAAGAATAAGATAATTTAAAAAGTATAAATTTTTTTAAGAAAAAATAGACTATTATGATCATGAAAACCAATATGAAGTGTACCACATAAGAATCCCCATTTGCACAAAAAAAAAAAAAAAAAATTAATAATAATTATTATTACTATTAAAAAAAAAACATGCGAATACTTTCGTGGTGGCTTTGCTTTCAGTGGCGGCGGCAGTATTCATAATTTAAGCTTTGGGTTTGTTTTATAATTTTAGTAGCTCTTGGGGTCGATAAGCTTGACTTAAAGATAAATTTTAATCTTAGCGGTGTGCGTTATTTAGTTGTTTGTGAAGCTTTTGTTCATAGTTGGTGTAAATATTGATTTCCTGTTGATTAAAAGTTCTCTATTTTGATTAAATAAATAAATACAGCCGCAAAATGATATTACCAACATCCGGTCTTTTGTGTCACCATCTTCAACATATCAATCTATTTATGTGAGAATTTCATATCCATTAGTTCATACTCAAATGGATAATAAAACAATAGGAAAACTAATGAAAAAAACTTGAAAATTTTTAGTTTTAATGATAAGGACAAAATAAAAGGTAAAGTGAATAGTACTAGGATTGAATTTTTAGTGTAAAAATGTAATTTTTCGTTAAAGTGAACAGTACCGGAAGTTTTTCGTTAAAGTTCCCTAAAACGATGGCACACCTATCAATTTAGCGCACACCCCTTCAGAAACTACTTCGTCTGCGTGGTGGAGTACATAAAGTAGTGCTAGAAGGGGTACTACCTGAAGTGACACCATTTTGTGTGATAGCCATAGCACATCGTTCAGCTTTCTGTAACAGCCACTCGAGTGTCTGCCCTTCGGTCTTGCAACCAAGCTCGCATGTGAGTTGAAAGAGACGGTTCGGCGCATCTCGGTGTTAGGTGAATACGAGGTTCACGACCATTTACCTTAGTACGAAGGCGTTTGGTAGATTTTTCATGGCAGAGGTTTGTGGTTGATACATTATTTGGTGACATGGTTTTCCTTCAATTCTAATGAGGAGTGATAGAGAGGTAATTGATTTCCAAGTTATTTTCTCTAAAATTTTTGTTGGTTTGTTGAGATTTATATATGTGTCCCGTACGTATAAATTTGGTAATTTTTATAGATATGAGTTCAAAATATCTTTTTTGTAATATGCGTGTAACTTTCTTATTCTTCTTCTAATTTATATTGAAATTTAAATGCTTCATTCTATTTTTAGTGGGCTGATTCATAAAAATAACATGTATTGTACATGCATGAATGACTATGTATGGAAAATCGAAGGAAAGGAAAATTCCAACATATGGCTTGCGGATTTTCCTTTTCATCTATTTTTAATAAATTATTAGTTTTATTATATTTATCATAATCCCTAATGTGAAGGTTTAGATGCTAAGGTGTTGACCCCTTCAATCATGATGGTTTTTTAAGTTGAAAATCGATTAATGTAATCCTTAATATTAGCCCGCAAATCAATATTGTCCTTTCATCGTTGTTCTGTCTAAATCAACGTTGAAAATGGTCACGTGCCCCCACATGACCACATTTTCATGGCCAATATCGTTAAAAAACCGTACTCCTTATAATTTGACCAACTACCTCCCTTTCCTCTATTCACATCTGCTTTTTCCTCCATTTTTTCTTAACGCCATTTGTTAAGCAACCTCAAATTAGCCCTTAGAACAATTACTAAGCTTTGTTCTGTTACTTGCCACTAGAAGGGGACTTCAACGAGCTCCTTGGCTCTTTTTTTTTTTGGGGCCTTCCCGTTTGCTTCTTGTACACTATAAGATCAATTAGAGTAAGTATGATCATATGATTAGGTCATTGATCTAGGGTAGGCATTAGGGTTTTGACGGGGGGAGAAAGCCCTTAGATATGATGTTTGCTTTTAGCAATCGTCCAAATACATTTGTGGGTCTTGTTGCTTCAAAAATTCAATAAACCACTCCCATGTGTTCTGGTTTTCAATCTCCACAATTGCATATGTTATAGGAACATCTCATTAATTGCATCAATCCCAACTACAATTAATATATGTCAAGGATATTGGCCTTTAAGCATTCATTTAAGGGTTGGTTTAAGGTTGCTTAATTTTTTATAAGAGCAGCTTCTTAAAAAGTTGGGGCCTTAATTGTGTTCAGCAAATGAAATAAAAAAAGTTTTTTTTTTTTTTTCAAAAAATTGGTATAAAATAGTATAAAGCAGAAGCAGCTCTACACATGCTTATAAAAAACGCTTTTTCTATCAGAGGTAGGTGAACAATACTAATTAATGAAACTTTCACATCGACAATCTTACCCCTATCTTTTTTTTTTTTTTTTTTTTTTTTTTTGCTAAAAGCACTTTTAGCGCTATAATTTACTAAAAACACTTACCTACATTTTTACATAGCTGCTGTTGGAACCAAATCTGCGCACCGTCGTGGATAGTGGATACACAAGTTGAGCAACCTGCAAAACAGGAACAACCATGAGCAAGCCTACGATTGGGGTGGGCACTTTAAGAAAGGAAGCCAAGCCTCACAAACATACATGCACCTTCATTGAAACAGGTTGTACCTCATCCTGATGCCGGCCAAGGGCTTTTCGACGGTCAAGTTAGTAAGTTGTTTTAGACTCAAGCAGTGGGCAACAGAATTAAAGTACAGAGATTGCGTTACTAGAGACAAATCCTAGATGAGTGTATTTATATTGTGTAAAGAGTGACCTTTTTAGGATTGAATCCTTCTTCTAAGCCGGGAGAATCTGAGATGATATTTAGAAGTAGATATTGTCTTAGGAGTTGTGATTGCTTGCGGCACATGTCAATTCCTAGATTGTAGTAACTCCAAGACTTATGAAGGATTTGATTGAGTCTATATTTAGATTAGATCGCGTGTCTTGCAGAACAAGTGTAGTCATACCAGTAGAGTCGTTTGGACTTCGCCTATTGCCCTGGAACAGGGTGATGTTGGTACCATTGCTCCGTCTAATCCAACTCTACTTGGAGCTAGTGAGTCCATGACTGGACTTCTGAGGTAACGGTATTCAGATCAACCTTACTCCAAACGTAGAAAATCATGGTCCCACAAACTGTTTATTTTGCCTTATATTTATTTATAATTTTTTAAGTAATTAACTACGAGGGTAAAATTGTCATTAAGTGATTTTTTATGCTGATATCAGCAATTATTTTTAGGTTTTTTGGTTAAATGTGTTATGTGAAAGTGAATGGAAATTCAATGAGTGTTAGAGCAACTTTTCAAACTTGAGAGATTTTGTAAAAACACAATAAATTTCAAGGAGTGTGAGTAAAATCAAGAGAGGAATGACAATAAATAAATATTTTAAATGGGATGATGCTGGTAGCCCTCGATAGGCCTTCTATAGTTGGCTGAAAAATTGAGTGTAATATCAATAGCATAAGAATCAAACTCTTATAATAGACAGTAAAATTTAAGTGCGATAAGAGTAATTTATTTAGAGAATTAGTATTAGCACTCCAAAAATCTCATTCTACACTTCAAACTTTTTATATTAGGAAAGAAAAGTACATTTGTGAAAAATGTAGAATGAAAATTTTAAAGTACGAAAAATGCTTTCCTTTATTTATTTATTTTAATATGAATGAAACTCTCTGTACCTGATTATTGTATACAGAAATCACTCCAGCAAAACCACGAAGATGGGCCCAATCCATAAGCCCAGTTAAAAATATAAAGTTAAAAACTCAAAACTCATGTCTCACGGTAGCACCGGGCCTCAGATCAAAGTGTGTTGTTTCTGGAAGCAGGAGAAGGTTCTGGAACGTCGTCGCTCTGTCCCCAACAATAATAAAACCCAATATGGCAAAACCCTAGTAAAGTAAAAGCTGCGAGACCCTCTTATCCACACTCTCACACTTCCTACTCCCTCACTAAAGCCTGCGACCCTTGAAGCTCTGACAATGGCGTCCGCCAACGCTCTTACTTCCGCTTCCCTTCTCTGCTCTCCCAAACAGGTAACTGGGTTATTCAATTGCCTGCTATTGGGAAACCGTTTGAATTTCTGGGTTTTGTGCCTCATTTTTTGGTTTATCATTTTCCTGTAAACCAAACATGGTTTAAGGTCTGTGGGCTGGTTTGATTGTGTTTTTGGGCTGCAAATTCTGATAATTTGAGGTTTATTTGCTTTAATCTTTCTGGGTTTTGTTTGGTTGGTTAAATTTTCACAATTTCGTCTTTGGGGTGAATTACTGGTAGCT